TGTAGAATAAATTGTGGCACTGTTGCGGTTAAAACTAGATCAACGACAACCTTCAGTCAGTTCACGGAATGATGTGGCAGCCGTATAAGCCAACTCACTGAGATGAGCTCAAAGACCACTGTGATCGTCACCACAAGGAACCAGTTGCAATTTGCACCGGACCATCAGACGTTCATTTTAGTCTTGGAGACCCACATCTAGCCGCTAGCCCAATGAAACCAGGATCCGAACCACGTCGCGGCTGGTGTGGGGCAGATGCCTTTGTTTGCATTTATATATGTATATATATATATATGTAGATTGAAGTGCCTGTTCAGCAAACAAGTTTGGTTCATGCGCATCCCCATTTGATATATAAATGCCTTTGTTAAGCTACTCCAACCAATGCATAGCCTGGGTTCTTGTATTCTGAAAGAAACTATCCACGACATGGGTGACAAACCGGGTCATATTTGTGCCTCGCGGCTCCAAGGAATCCAGCAGTGCCTACGTTTGGTCTTGGCTCGTGAGATCCAGCGGAACGTCTCCTATGAGTATTTCGTGCGACTGAGACCGGACCTCCTTGTGCTCACAGACCTTCCCAACCTGGAAGATGCTGTTCTCGGAAGACACTGCATCCTCGCCAGACTTCGTGCGGCGAACAACATCATGGAGAGCCCCTAGTAGCGTCCTTATTCCTAGTAGTAAGGCCAGGAGCCCCTAGTAGCGGCCTTGCTCCTAGTAGCGATGCCCTTTGCCCCTAGTAGCGTTCTTGTTCCTAAAAAGGTCCAAAAGGCAAGTAAGAGCTGCAGATGTTTCCCACAAGCGCCAACGGGACCTTTTGTCTCCAAATGCAATGCAGGATCTTACAAATGAGCATCTCTCATGGTGCTACTGCGATCATGGTTGCTGCTCACGTGGAGCACTCAAGGGAAATGATGCCATGTATATCATGGATGACATGATCACCATTGCAGCACGAGAGCCATTCCTTCGCCTTTGGCAAGGGAGAGAACACCTGGACAGGTTTTGAGAGAGAGGGGGAGTTGCTGGAGCAACATTGCAAATCTACACTTCGCTTTGGTACGCCCCCGAACTGACATGGACATGCAATTGAGTTTGAAAGCACTGTAATTGCAGTAACTGTAATGATTCATGGCGCTTGCTAGCCTGGATCGACTGAACGATTCAAATTGCAGAGGTCCAGAACAACTTAGAACAACAACCCTGAAACTGAAACCACAAATTGGCCACCCGCTCAGTAGACTTACGCGAAGTATACATGTATTTACAGAGATGTGGTCTTTCAAGGGAGGGGTGTTTGTGTCTTTCATTTGTGCAGTGTTCGGTTCCTGTTCGACTTGAAAGACGCGCAGCGGCAAGGATAAACCCCTCTGGTTGATGGCGCCGATGGCTGAGACTTCGATGACGATGTGGATGCTCCGGAAAGGAGTGCCAAGACGCTTCGATCCGATCCGTTTCCGAACGCACCGGGTTTTTCCCAGGTGCCTCCGGTAACGGTGCCTTGGTCAAGCCAACTTGGTCGACCTCACAAGGGGGGTCACCAGGCCAGCTTCTTTCTTCCACAGGAAGATCCCAATCAACTTCTTCATTGAGATGACAGGAAGACATGCGGCATGCCCTCAAAGTCGCAGCTACTCGAAACAAATCTGAAGGACTAAAGACATCGTGGAAAACAGGCATACTTTACACATTATGTTCGCATTGGTCGGATGCGAGTTTATCCAATCAGGGGGATCTGTCCACAGCCAGCAACTTGGCATTGTGTCAAGTTCATTCTTTGAACACATTCTAGTCGGGCGTCAACGCGTACGATTTTGAGCAGTTGCGACCCGTACTCTGAGGGGCTACAACATTTGCATGTTTCTGTCGAGAAGTTCAGATTGTTGGTGTGAATGGGCTTGAAGATTTTTGAGTTGGCGGACAGTCCAAGTACAATCTGGCAATCAAAGCCAAAGCATGGTCGAGAAAGCCTTCCTGAGCTGTATAGTCTCGTGGCATTTCTGAGCCATGCTCCTTCGTAAACTCAATCACTTGGTTTGAATCTTCCACTTAGACAGAGTCTTTTCCACGTTTATGGATCTCTGATGATTACCCTTTGGGGTCCCTTCGGACCCGGTGACAGGAGTGCCTTTGTGTCCTTTGGCAATACGGGCCTTGCCCTTGGGCAGTGGAAATCCGCATGCCGCCCAGATGTCCAAGTGCGGCTATGTGGAAGGAAGCCCCCCTTTGCTACAGAGTTGGCTGCTCAGGATTAGTAAGATTTGCTAGCCCAAGAGGTCTGGATTCGGGCTGAGGCCACGTTGGGGGTGGCTGAAAAGAGCAACTTGTTTAAAGCTGTTCTACTTGAGTCACACAGTATGTCAGGCTATTACGGAACTCTTAGAGTCGAGCAGCCGAGGTCAATGTGGCTTACCCAAAGCTTCAAAAGACAACGTTCATTTGATCGCAGCCAAATAGCTGCCTTGGCTCCTGGACATGCGATTTAAGATCAACGTGAGAGGTGTCAACATGCGATTCAGAATCTGAATGAAGGAAACGCCACAGAATCTTCTCACAGTCACCGACCTCCGGCGTCCAGATCCGTGCTGCAGAATGCGTCCCGTCACAGATCCGTGCGCTCAGATGGTAGAGATCCATCGTCCCCGGAGATGATCTTCAGTGATTGGGACCAGCTTGCAGATGCGAACGCCGCTCTGCTTGTGCGAAAAGCGAGCGCAAAAGAGCCTGGGTGAATTTGGCCCATGAGTTGACACTTGATCACTGATGAAAACTAGGCCTGAAGGTCTAATACCAAGCATGCCATATATACTGTATATATATATATACTACCGCCCCTCTTGTGTTCTTTGTGTTCTTTCAGTGTTTTGTATGTTGTGGATGTCAGACAGATAATTGATTGAAGACTGTGCATTGTAGTTTCGTGAACGACATAGCTTGATTCCAGACGAAAGCACATATGGAAGAGGTCACTGATTTTTGTATGAAGAGCAGGGAGGATGCACAGTAGACTTGTACACGCAGAACAGGACGCAGCCATTTTCCCCAGGTGGTCAACGTCATTTTTAAACACAGCTCTTCGACATAAACTTTGCCATTTCCCAGGAGCAAAGTATGCCGGTGGAAACCCAGAGGTCAGCATTCTTGTGCCAGTACTCGTACTGGGCTGACCGGAGCATAGCTCTCAGGGTCTTTGACCCGACTTTGGAATGTTGGTTCAGGGCCATCCTATCTTTCAAGAATCTCCATGCCCGGTCAATGATCTGCGTCCCGGCTTTAACCTTCATCTTCTTCTTCTCGCCTGGGATCTTGTGGGTAAGGACTTGAACATAGATTGGAGAACGCCACTGCCACTTGCCATTCTTCTTCCCTTTTTTTGCATGGATGACATTGTCATGAATGACCCCTTGCACTTTGCACTTGTAGCTCTTTGCTGCGTCAGTGTGCAAAATGACGCTTTTGTCCAGAAGCCATTGTTTTGGCCAACGGCAACCACTCGACCTTGCGGATGGCGCCTGGGCCTGGAGCGGGGGCTCGGACATTTTGGGGTTCAACCTATGGAGCACCAAGGTCTGTGGACGACCTCTCTTCACAATGCCACACCACTGTTCCCAAGCAACAGGTGTGGTGGCTGCAAGGCGAGCTTGCCTAGGTTCTCCTTGTCAAACGTGGAACGTGGTCTCGTCAGCCTCTACATCATTTTGCCTGCTCCAAAGTCGATCTTCTTCTCTTCTTCCTGCACCCACCTCATACGCAAATCACGCAGCCACTTGTCCATGTCCTCAATGGCTTCATGGTTGGCACCAAGCAAGCGGTGAATGACAGGGTGAGGCACACGATTGAGAAGCGGGAGCAGCAAGGCAGACTGCATCTGCAACGATGTTGCGCCAGAGCACCTGCCATCAACGAAGAGTGGATGTAGGCGATGCGGATTCAAGTAGACATGGCATGCCTTGGCACGGCAACGGTAGGTCGGCTGGTGAAGCTTGGAGAGCGAACCTTTGCTACAGCGGGGGCACTTCTGCCCGTCCCAAGAGCAAAGCAATTTGTCTTGAAGGAGCAAGCGGACGATCTTCTGGTCGGAAACTCCGAGCAATTCAGGGATCATCCTTTCCCACTTGATGCGATCCATGCGCAGACCAACATTTTCCACGCTTGGGTGCTGGAAAAGGATTGAAGTTACCCTTTTTGAGCATTTTGGGCACATGGTTTGAAGGACGCTGCGGCAACTGGTTGATGTCTGCACTGAAATGGCTGCAACCTTTCAGACGTCAATAAAGGCAGAAGGGAGACACGCATTCCATGTTTCATTCTAGTGAAGCCACAGACGCACGAACACAGAAGTGACGGCCAGTGTAGAACACATCCACCCAGACACTACGCGCGCAAAATCAGAAAGAAGCAATCGCAAGAGTATATGTGGCATTGTCCGATTTTTTCTGCTTTGTGAAGGTCTCTGTGGCTAGTCATATCGAGCAGCATATGCCCATCTCGTTGAATTGTGAGAAAGGAGACTCAAAATGCCATCAGAACGTGCTGAGACCAATGAAGCCACCACAGCCGAATCATCGCTCTTCGTCAGGCGCCATGCCAACGCCTGGACATTGTTTTCATGGTCCATCGCATTCTCCAATGCCTGCTCCAAGGTCTCATCATCGTCCGCGTGCAACAGGCCCAGTTTCGCACTGGGATTTTCCTTTGAAGACGATGGGGCAGAAGAAAGAAATTCTGACTTGGTGACGGCGAATCCAGTTCCATGACTCCGCGAGGAGCCGAACGCAATGACTGGAAAACAACCTGCTCCTTTTTGACTTTGATACTCTCCTTCTTTTCAATGTCCCAGTTGGTCCATCCCATGCTGGCGCGGTCGGTGTCCACGTTCACTGGGTCGGAGTGAGTCTCGCGAGCGAAGAAGGCGTGCCCGTCATGGTACCTGAGTAGAACAAGAACTATGTACGCGCATCGTTGGACGGAAGATCACGACAACCGGAAAGAAATTCAAACGTTGCAAAAGAGAAAGACAGACAAAAGCAGCTGAAACACTCGGCAGACTCCATCTTCACGCACGGAATGCTGTGCATCTTGGCCTCTCTTGTCTTCTTTTCTTGTTGTCGAGCTTCTTCTTCATGGTGACGATCTTTGCTTCTTGCAGCCGCTCCCCTGGTCAAACGTGTAAGCAGACAAAGTGCCTTTTAATTTGGCAGATGTATGGCTTTGTGGCAAATGCAGTTTTTTGTAAATGCGAGGAACACAAGCCATGTGCAATGGAAGGAACAGCATAGCATCATACAAGAAACTCAGACAGAATGCAAGTGTTTCGCAGATGCTGTTCATAATCTCCAGGAACGGGCCCACCTTGCTTGAAGTTCTGGAGCTTCGGCTTGGAGGTGTCCAGCAGGGTGTCCGGTTTTTGCCATCGAAGCCGGCGCGCCTGGATTTTCTGGCTCAGATGGAAGACGATATGTGACGCGCTGGTTGCCAAAGATAATGAAAGCGCTACGCTTCAGGATCGCCATGGCATCTGTGTGTGCCATGCTGCTAAGAGCTGGTCGAAGCATATAAGGAAGAAGTTCTCATGGGAGACAATGAGGTCAGAGTCCAAGTTGTTGTCTTCAGGTTCAGCACCCGGATTGTACGCATGGTCCAAGACTTGACGAAGCTGGTGACGTGCAAACTTGGCACTGGCCCACCCGGCACGGGTCATGGATTCGTCATCTCCAACGTCGGTGAAAAGTGAAAGCTTTGATCTTTTTCACCTCCTCCCCACTGATGTTACCGGCATCAAAAAGAGCAGGTGCAGTCTTGGTAAAGGGGATGCCCTTGAAAAAGTCCAAGTCAGACGTTGTGCGAAAAGTGCCCTGGCCCTCTCCCCCATAGTAGCGCGAGAACATCGTGGCGACTACTCGCCCCAAAGGTGTCTTGCCCTTGCCTGCCTCACCTAACAGCCGCAATGCGTGATCTCTCAGACAAAGAACCACCTTCTCCACAATGTCCGTGAGAGGTCGTACCTTTGACACAATTTTGCAGAGGAATTGTCATTTGCCGAGGAGTCCAGAGCTTTCTGGACCAGACGTTCCTGCCAACCATGGACGGGGCATCCTTCCAAATGGATATGATGATGAATCCACCGGAGTTGCTTCAAATCGCTTTTGTCCTTGATGAACCGCCAGCCATCGTTTTCCGGCAAAGCGGCGCTGGATGCAGGTTTCCTTTTTTCAGGAGTAAGAGTATACTTTCTGAAGCGCAGGCCACCCAGTTGTTCAAGCATCCACTGGAAAGCTTTTGTTGGTCAGTCTTTTGTCGTGACCACCCCATGCTATTCCCTTGCCTGAGCACGAAGAAGAGATTGTACATAAGAGCCTGACACCTTGTCGTCAATGATGTGGACATGCTTCAGCAGGATTAAGTGGTCATCATCTTGAGGCAATAGAAAGTATTGGCTTTCCATGTGGCAGTAGGGGCGAATCTCCCAAGCCTTATCCCTGAAGACTGCTTGGAGAGACGGAATATCGATCGTGTTTTTGGGAATGTCCACAACGAGGTCGACGAAGTGCTTGATGGAGAGAAGGCCTTGACGTCCAGGTCCCTGAGAGGCAGATCCGTTGCCGACAAAGCTCCAGGAGGCATTGGTCCAACACAGACGTGCGCAGGCAGCTCCCTGATGAACAGACCCTGCGTTGCTGTCACTGCGTTCTCCCAATTGATGCTGTCGGGAGACACGGTCACCATGGCCAAAGTATGTCAATTGTTTCCTAGATTTTTTTTTTCAGCGGTGCTGCTACAATAGTCAGAGAGATCAGATAAGGTCACCTCACAATGAAAGTAGCCAAGCACGTGTTATGGTGAGCGTTGAACTGTCATAGCTTTTCTTTTACTCTCTATTGTGCGCAGTAGTACAAGAAGCTGCCGCCCGCAGAAGGTGCATACTGGGAAACGCTGTGGATGGTTATAGTGTGCTGAAGAGTGACAACCTGTAACAACGAGCTTGCGGAAAACGCACTTGCATTACAGCACATGCTTTATTGAAAGAGGAAGAAATCCAAGTTCTTACGCGCTTTCTGGTGTGCGTGGCGGCGAGTATGGCCACCACACTTCTGGCGGTGTGAGTGGCAACGCGCCCGGAGGTGGCGGACCCGGCGGTGTGCCGGCAAGAAGGCCGCCGAGCGGAGGCCCTGGCGATGTGCCAGGGATTGCTCTCATTGGCGCCACGGCCACCATCTTGCCAATCTCCATGGAAATGTCAAGCCTGAGGCGGTGAAGGTTTGCAAAAGACAGGATCACGATACAACAGCAAGAAACGTAAGTACATTCAGTTTTCTCGAAGATGCTCCGACTCATCAGTTGGTGCTTCCGAAGCCGTCGCAACCACAGACTCGAATTCCCAGGCGGTTGCTCCCGTTGTCTCAGCAGTGGCCATGGACATGTCTGACCTGACGCGGATATGGTTTGCGACACAGGGAACAGACAAAATGAAAAGACAGCAGCCAGAAGCAGTGGTATGTTTATGTTTTTATATAATCGGCAAGATGCACAGAATCGTTGCCTGCGATGTCAACGACCTCTTCCGTGGGCCTCGTGGCAAGAGATAGAGTGTACTACGATTGGGCTTGGTTGGACGAGTGGCTCATATACTTGCTTTAGTTTTTGCTCACTGCAAAGATGAATGCACTTGCGAAGCGGCTAAGCTTATGACTCTCCGATGTAGTGTTTTGGCTTGGCCAAAGCAATAGGGCAAGGCGTCAACGGCATTGCCACAAAGGTGAGGAAAAGCGAAGAGATGGCGCAGGTTGATGAGAAACGGCTTGTGGAACAGTATTGAATATAACTGAATCCAATGGAAATCTAATACACCCAAAGCTTTTCGCACAGGGAAGGTCTCCATAGTCCTGATGGTTGTGGAGGTCCTCGGTGCTGGCGCCCGCTTCTGACAGTGAAGTGATAACAACCACCGCTTCTGACAGTGAAGGGTAACAAACCGCCGCTTGCAGCAGTGAAGGGCAACCAAGCTTCTGACAATGAAGTGCCAGCAGTCATGGGCCGGATGAACTTATGCGCGCAACATCATACGTCATACGGCGTTGTTGGTCTTGAGCGTTATTTGTCTATTAGCGCTGTGGGTTATTTACACTCTTCAGGTTCTGTTTTGGCCGACAGCTGTGTCAAGGGCTGTACTGTTTGCACGCATACTTGTGCGCGTATAACGTTCTATGCGCAACGTCAGGCTCTCAACCGACACTTGTTTTAGCATGTTTCGGCTTGCTACACGCACAATAGTCGTGCTGGATACTCTTTGGCCTTGGGCGAGTGAAGCCTACGGGAATTGCCGCTTGCGCGCATACTTTTGCGCGCGTAAACTTATACGCGCAAGATCATACGGCCTTATCGTTCTGCAGATCGTTGCTTCAAAGTCAATAGTGGCGCTGGATGCTGCTTGGCCTTGGGCCAATGACACTTACAGGCTTTGCTGTTTGCAGGCATACTTTTGTCCGCGTAAACATATACTCGCAAGATCATACGTTGTTATTCCCCAAGTAGGGATAGCTATGGGGTTCTTGCTGCAAATAAGAATGAGCTGGCTGCGCGCGCTTTTGAAAGGGTGTCGATGCTGGAGCTGGTGTTGTGGTCCTGGGTGCTGGTGCTGTGAGCTGGCTGAGAGCGCGTTTAAGACGGGCGGCGGCGCTGGTCGGGCGCTGGCGCCGCTGCTGGTGTTGTCAGCTGGCAAAGCGCACCGGCGCTGGTGTCAGCTGATTGTGCGCGCTGTGGAGGCGCCGTAAGCTGGCTGCGCAGGCTGCGTACATTCTTGTTCCAGCCAGTCGCATGTCAACAGGTCGTGGGATTCTGCCTAGCTATCTGGGTCTGTGCTGGTGTAATTTCTAAAAAGACTGGTGCCCAACATATGCAACTTTTATTGTAAATTTCAATGAACCATGAATTTGGGTGTCTATTCTTTATTTTCTTTGGGGGTACCATATAAATATATATATATGTTACATACATATGATATGACGGATGAGGAGGGCGCCCGACTAAAGAGTTTGTTGTTTGGAGGATCTTTCAGGGTGCGGTGGGTGGGTGCCATAGCGCATACCATTGAACAGTCCTTGAAACGAACACCTGTTTGGTCAAAGCTTGCGCTTGTGAAACTTTGTGCGTGCTGCGTCGGACGTCGTGGCGCCTTTCGGAAGTTTAGTGTTCTCAGCATCCAGGTGTTCATCATTTAACGTTCAAATTATTGCGTAGCAGGTCTTGTTTGGCCTTCAGTGATCTATCTATGTTTTGTAGGAGCTTGCGCTTGTGAAACATTGCGTGCTTTGTCAGACGTCATATTTTGATGATCGTTGTTTTGAGCTTGAGAAGTTGGCTTAGATTTACGAAGGGGCAATGGACTCCCGCGATCAGGACATAGACAATAAGATTTCTCAGCCATTTCGAGCCAGGACTTTCATTGATCCGCGGAACAAAAAGAGCCCGAGTGAGTTGCACTTCAGAAAAGAGGAACAAACAAAACATATATATGATATATATATATGTGATAAATCTAAAAATGCGGGGAAATTTTGTTGAGCTGTAGTTGGCAACTCTGACGTGCTCATGTTCAAAGGGCTACATTTGCGTACGGTTTTGACCTTCTGTTCGCTGTGCCATAACTGTCCCAGCAGACTACAAACTTTCTTGAAGAAGAGTGAAGCTGCGCCCTTACACGGCTGTCTCGGTGTAGCCTGAACAGCCTCTGTCCAGATGTTGTTGGTTGATAGCGAACACGAAACATGCACACAACAATGCGGTATGTCACAAGAGGGTCCTTGAAGGGCCCGAAAGAAGAACAGTTTGCCTAAAAATCTAGGAACAACGTCATAAGTGTGAGCTATCCTGCGTGCATACCACAAGCCAACTCAAACTACTAGGGACTCCCTTGCTTCTACTAGCTACCTAGCTACTTTTTCTACTGGCCTAGCCCCCATAATATAAAGGATTTGTACATTCAAAGGACGTCTCAAAGGGTCGTTGAACCTCTGCAGCAGTTTTTTGCTCCAAGCGGCCCTCGACCATGGAGCCAAGTAGACGATGCTCGGCACAGAACGTTTGTTTTTTAACGCCCGTGGGGAACCCCAGCCTCCTTACTCAATATGAGTCATGTAAGTGGGCGATTAGTTAGCTTCTAGTAACTGGACGCGGGACAGTTCACGCTTCTTCAAGGAAGCTCCCCCTGGCGCCCCTTGGGGAAGTGCTCGCACTAATCATTTGGTTTCTAGACTTTTAGGGAAACTTGTATGATTTGAAGCGTTGGTTGCCGTTTGTTTTCAACGCCTTGTCCATTGTGTCCTTGAGCAAATCTCTAAGGACAGGTTCCGCTGTCCAGTGCTTTGGGCCCTCTGAAGGACAACATATCAGCATGTTTTGTGTCTCTGTGTTTTGCAAATGTCTGGTTTGCAAAAGAACGCCCAGATGCCCAACTTCCATGAGCTCTTGAATGATACTTTTGAATGGCATAACGGTATAACGGTATAACTGGTGTGGCGACAGTTCCTCACACATGATCGAACTGTGGCATACAGTGGCCCTTGGTACCCTTGTGGTATGCCCCTTGTGTTCCTGGTCTTTCTGAGGTTTGGAACCGCCGAGCCGTCATCTCTTGCGACGAGTCGAAGAACGGACTGCCTCCAATGGCCAAACTCGCCAGGCTCCTCGGGCGGAGGAGACTGGGCCCAAGCAGCCAGCGTGTGGTGTGGGAACTTCGTGACTTGTGGGGTCTGGGAGTTGGGCCCGCTGCCCCCCCTACTAGTAACAAGGGCATCGCTACTAGGAGCAAGGACGCTATTAGGGGCTCCTGGCCTTACTACTAGGAACAAGGACGCTACTAGTAACAAGGGCATTGCTACTAGTGACAAGAACACATTTTAAATTCCACCCAAATCGACACTTTTGGAAGGCTGGTCTAAATTTTCCATCATGGGGACGCTGGTGAGTCAAACCCGCCTGAGGTGCAAGTGTGTGCTTTATATGTTATATGTATTTATTATATTGCTAAGTTTGGAACCAGAGTCTGAAGACACTCCCTTGCTCCTAGAAGCGGTTGATTTGAAAGTACCACTCCCAAGATATAGTAAGGATAGCTTCCTCTACCTTGCCTGAAAGTCAGAGGACAACTTATTTTCCCTGAAGAAGTGGCATTGTGAAGGAATGCTGGATGGACCTTGGAGCCCCTGGACAGACTCGCGCAAAGCAACTTTTGCACCATTGCTTAGGAACCAGTGGACCAACATCGAAAGGCCCCTCTGAAGACTAGCGATGAACAACGCGACTTCTTCAAGCAGTGAAGACAGCCGACAGCATACCTTTTGGAGACATGCAGGCAAGCGTTGAAGCGCACAACTTTTTGAGATATATTGAAGTGCAATGCCGGCTGGTGAAAGACTAGCCAGAGTGCTGCACAAGTGCTCAATGAGCTTTGTAAAGTTTTTTGATGTTTTGTTGTTTTAAGCGGTCGATGGAGTGGAGTAAATCAATACTCCAGAGCCTTTGTGTGGATATATTTGCGCCTAAAGACCTTTCGTCACTTTGAGCCTATCTTACGAGGCAAAAGCTTCCACGCACCTGTGGTGCTCTCGTGGAGGCTTTTTTGTACCACATTGTGGCTGACCCAGATCAGGAAGAGCCTGGAGACTCTTCACAAACGGAAAATCAGAGAGCGAGGGGCTTGGGAGGTGGGCCAAGAGGAAGTTCCTTTCGCTAGTCACTAAATGTTGTTCGATCGGGAAACCACCATCCCAATCTTGCAGTTTTAAGGATCTCCCTGGTATCAAGCTTTCACTTCTACTTGGACTGGGCAAGCATGGTGTGGTCCTGCGATGATGGTATCCTAGAGTCTTAGAGTTCGTGACTTCCTGCTCTGTCCCGTGCTGCTGGATTCTCCAAATACGCAAACAAGTTCTGGCTATATTTATTCCCAAACGATTTGGCCTTGGGCTGAAATGGTTGGGACAAGGGGGACCAAACTACCCAGGCTGTCATGTTTGCCCATCACGCGGCAGGCCTTTGATAATGGCACAGCTTGTTTGCCCTTCTTACCAGGATCTTGACGGGCTCATGGGTGACTAAATTGCACCTTCCAAGCTGTCGCTTAGTGCCCTTTCTGGGCCAGCATTAAAGCCTAGGGCCTAGGGCCTAGTGGCTGTGCAGGCGACACCTTCCGCAGCCGCAGCTGCGGCTCGGATCAACCGCCTGCTGAAGAAGTGTGGCACCAAAGGAAGTTGTCCTTTCTGTGCCCTCTATGCATCATCCATTAGCTTCGTCGTGACACAATTTCTTGTGATACAACAGCAACATGGATTCCGTGCCCCTTTGCCGAGGCGGAAGTTGGAACAAGTTTATGTCGCCGGTGATGTGCTTGAAGGCAGGCTGCCTTGGCTTGCGAAGAAAGTAACTGGCAAGCGACAGGGATGTTGGCAAGTGACAGTGGTATTCAAGAGGACTTCAGTTCTTGAGAGGAAAGGAAGAGGCAAGGAAGAGGAGAAGGAACAAGGAACAGCCATGAAAAGACATGAAAGGAAATGAAAGGACATATATAAAAATGGAGATGAAAGCAAATGACAGCAAGTCAGGACAGACATGATGGACATGGAAGGTCAATGATTGAACCATCGAAAGAAATTGTTTTGGACCCTGCAGGGTCCAGACCTGAAAGGTCGCGGGTTCAGTTCCCCTCTCACCCGGATCAAAACCAAGGAGAATGAGGCCTCCCTCCAAGAGAGCAAAAGGAAGAGGAAAGGAAGGACAACAGGAAGAGCCATGAAGAGCCAAAGAAAAGGACTTGGGAAAAGGAAGAGGGAACGGAAGAAGAAGAAGAAGAAGAGGAGTATGAAGGGAAACGAAGAGAAAAAGGAACATGAGGAGGACAAGGAAAGAAGAAGTGGAAAAATGAAGAGGGAGACCAAGACAAAAGAAACTTGCATATAACTACACAAGCTTACTTTTGTTGGGCACGGACATTTCTTAATTCTTTTTCTTGGGCCACGTATTCCAGGAAGGTCGAACGTGTCACGAGGTTGCACTAAAGGCCCTCACTCTGGAAGGTGAAGAAAGGAGGTGCTGAAGAATACCATGCACGAATCAACAGCGTAGATACCCGATGTTGCTTGCCGAAGACACACCTTTCGATACTAGCTTTCCTGCCAGAATGCGGAACAGGTGTTCAGGTGGCTGAAAGGCCTACAACACCGACAATACCAAATAGTTTGCATCTATATCATTCTATATCTAGATCTATCTATCTATCTATATATATGTTGAAACCACGGACCGATTCGATCCGACCGAGAGCTCCTGCTCTCCCCCTACCGGCGGCCTTTTCCGCGCCCGATCCTTGAGCAAAGGTTGCCTCCGGTCCGACCTATAATGCACACCCGTCGTGACACTGCTTTCACACTCCACCAACTGTAAAAACAAAAGCTTTCCGTCGAGCATTCGATACAGCAGGAGTACAGGTCACTTGTGAAAATTCTGTTCACTTCCTCTCTCGCTTGTCGCTGCTTCCGGGAAACTCTCCGTAGGATCAGTGGTCTGATTCACACTTCCGGCGTAATCGATGGCACTGAGATAAGCAGCAAAGTCGCCGAAACGACCATCTCGATCTTTTCCATGGGCCTGAACCCAAATCAAATAGGACTGGTATTCAGTCTTGCTTGTGAGTTCTTGGTATGAGAGGCCCAACTTACTTACCTTCGGAAGGCGGCACACTGTGGATCCCCAGTCTTTCAGACGGGTCACGCCAGCGGGAAAACAAATCTTGGACTTGTCCATCTTCTCTGGAATCACTGGCTTCTGGTCATGGCTCATGTGTCCACCAAGACGTTCCTTCTCGAGTGGCTGATGCTCTTCTGAGTAATGAACCGGCTCCCATGCTTCATCCAACTCAATGTCTCGCTGGTCACGAAGACGCTTGGCACTGTCATTCATTGCGACATAGCCCTGTGTCGCATCGCTGCGACTCTTCACACCCGATTGGTGGGCTCGGCTCATGATCGCCTTGGCATGTGCCAATTCCTCCGGAGTCACAGGAGTGGATGGGGAAGACATCGATCAAGCCACTGAACAATCAGAGGCACGATTGCCCCTGAGATGCGAGAACAAGATCTTGAACAGATCAAAAGGGCTTGCATTATCTATATCGGTTTCGGAGTGCTCACTCTGACATGCACAAAACAAAACGACAAATTCGAAAAACTCAACTGTACACAAAAAGGGCACGCCACGTGATCTGGCACTAGTTCTACTCTTTCATTGATTCCCTCCACTTCCGGTCCAAGACTGTCTGCTCGTCTGCCAGTTGGTATCTGGCTGCACGGAGAACTGAACGAAGGAGGTGCATCGGTTCAGCCTTGTCCTTAGTCAGTCCATCGGCTAGCATGTGTCCTGTGGGAACCCATCTAGCTTCCATTTTGGTTCGACGAATGGACTGCCTGATGATAGCTATGTCAATAGCTGTTCGTCTGTCATCTAGAACCCCTCCCGAACCTAACGAGGTCAAATGATCATATAGTGAGCGACAATCTGTCATGCCTATAGGGGGCCGCTTGAGGAGGACTTGGTCTGCTTCTTCCAACAGGAAAGAAAGGACCATCAAGACATTCGGAGGTCATGAGGGCAACCCATTCACACATTCCTGAGGCTGTCGAGAAGGCCTGTGCTTCACCTCCCATCGTTGATGACACTACGCGTGGTAGTCAATAAGACTTCCATGCGAAGCAGTGCACTGGAACATCTAAGCCTTGCTGCATTTTATTTGAGGTAAAACCAACAAGCCATCCCCCTTGAGTCTTAAGCTCAGTGGTGTTCGCGAAGGTGGCATCAGACCAAAAACAGAGAGTCAACTCTTCTGGTGCGATGAAAGGCACTCTGATTTGCAAATCTGCCTGTTGCCTTGCCCGACGCACGGCTTGGTTGGCTTGGAGAAGGTCAAAAACAGTTGGCTGAGGAAAACATTGCTGACTCTGAGATGTCTGTACAGCAATATCTGGTCTAGTTTGAGTACTCAACCAACTCAAGGCACCGCTCACTGCTGTAAGAGCACTGATCTCCTGTGGATTCGCTGGTAGCCATGGACGCTGAGCTCTTTCCTTGTTGATCTTGATGGGCTGGATGTGTTCAGCACATTCTTTCTGGCCGAAACAGATTTCACCAGTCTCAAGGTCTTGCTCATAAACCGTCCCGAGGAATTCACCCTTCCCTGATCGCCATTTGCGGAAAGGAAATTTTGCTCTAAGCTTGGCTATGGCAGCTTCATACACCTCACCTTGACCTCCCGTGATTGTGTCATCAACATGAGCACCAAGGACTCCTTGCAGTTTACCATCCGGACCATGACAAACGTACAGACAGCTGTCAAACTTGCTTCGAACAAACCCTGATGCAACAGCCACTCGATCAAACTCGCAGTACCATTCATGTGGAGCATCGTTAGCGCCGTAAATGTTTCCAAGTACTTGAACAAGGGAACCTTCTTCAATGCCTGGGACTCCACCTGGTGGCAACTCGGCGTACACTGGATTAGCTAAGGCTTTGTCTCTTACGTTTGCTTCTAAAAAGGCGCCTTTAATATCTCCTAAGTGCATCACCCATCCATGACTTACGATCATCTGCAAGATCAGGCTTCGGCCGAACTGCGAGAGCGTCGGAGAATGACACTTCCCAGCGAGCACCTTTTGGAACAAGTGCCATTCTCCTGTATGAGTTCCGTCATAAGGCACTCATCCGAGTCTGTCTTCGAGCACTTGCTAGGAGCACTGGAGGGTCCGTCAGGAGACAGGCTACGTTTTGTCCCATGTGCTTCTTCGAGAACCTCTTGAAGATCTTCCGTCCTGGTTTCTGGAGGTCTCAACAAGAACATTGGGGGTCCTTTGGTCTGTCTCAACCGAACAGGTCCGTAACCCTCATTGCTGTTTTCAGCACTGGTCCGCTCAGCTTCGGTTCCCAAGGGAGTCCACCTCGTTTGGGCATCTGTACCCATCTTTGTGAGTGTTCGAGACATAGAACTGGTTGTCCCTGTGGAAGGTTGCGCCAGTTCTCGCAGCTCTACCTGACTTCCCTTCCCCTGCAAAAGAGGGGGTTCCGAACGTCGACGTTTGGCCGGGGTCTTTTTGGATTACTACTTTCTAGGTTGTCAGACAAACTATCACCTGTTTCGGATTCTCCTATGCTCGGACTAGCTGGCTTCGGCGTTGCACTCGACACAGGCTTTGCGGCTGACGGCGCTGTCGCGCTGGCTGGGTTCTCTCTCCGCGGACGAATCTGGAACTGTGATTCTCCCTTCCAAGTGGTTTCCCCCCAAATCCCGGTCTGCGTGTCCGGATCTGACCAAATCTTATGAACCACGACTTCACCTGTGTCCGAACGAATGGTCTTCCGCCAATTTTCCAAAGACACGCCCTTCAACACTGGGTCATTTGGATCAGGAAAGAACCACTTTTGACGTGGAGTACGATGAACTCTGCACAACAACTCACCTCTCTTGATCCACACATCTGGCTGAGCTACAGGTTCACTAGCAATCTGCATCGGAGTGGGAGTACCTGTCAAATCAACAAACTGTGATCCGATCTGTTCCTTGTCCTGGAGAATTGTGTTCAAACCCAACAACTCTCGACCGTCGGTCTGGGCAACAAGTCTCTCTTCGGCAGTCACATGTCTCAAATGCTCTGGAGCCACTTTGAAGACGTTCTTCCTGTGATACACCAAAAAGTTTCGACCTACCTTACCCATGACCGTTGCAACCCCGAACCATCTACCTCCTACTAGTCTCATGCCACGCTCATACTTCTGGGTCCGCCAATATGCAACGAAGTCCCCTGGCAGAAAGTCTCTCTCTACCCTTGGTCTTGCATTCAAAGCTGTCCTAAGTGTCTTGTCGTCTAGAGACATGATCAGGGCCATGCGAGCCTGAGTGCGAATTGCCTGCGCTTTTGCCAGTGCATCGTCGGACAGGGCGGCTGTCCCGGACACAGGGCAGGGCCATTCCTGAAGCAGGTCACCTGGCACTCTAGGGTTTCTACCGAAAACAAGTTGGCATGGCGACAGTCCATGTTGATTCAACAACTCGTTCTTTGCATTCATGGTCTGTACAATGCACTGTTCATATTCTTCTTTGTTCTTCGGTTGAACCTGATCCAACACCTTTTGAAGGATGACCTCAAACAAATGACCATGCTTCTCTACCTTCCCCAATTGGGAATGTGCTTCGGCGCTCGACAGGACTCTGGTGCCATCTTGTTCTAGCATTAGCAGGATCTGTGATGACTTCAACTGGAGGACCTGCCCATCGTTGCCAAGCATCGAGGTAGATACGCTTCAACACTTCACTGGTTTCCTTCTCATAAAAGGGGACTACTACCTGGAAGCTACTGGCATGATCTACGATGTTCATGGTTTTGATCTTCTGGTTGACTTGCCAACCTGGCAAATTCTTGACATCCCAGCCAATCCGTTGATTGAATTCAGTGGCTTTCTCCGGATTGGACGGCAAGGAAGGCGTGGGTCGCTGTCTCTGCCGGCAAATGTCGCACTGACTCTCTACCTGTTCGGCTGCCTTCAAAGCTTGTTCCGAGCCACCTGCATTCTTCAGGATTCTAATGAGGGTCCTAGTAGAGGGATGGCCTAGATTATTGTGAAGTCTCTTCAACAAGCTCTTTACCTTTTCAGGATCATGGGCAGCCTCTGCTACACAGACCTCATGGCACTCAGTCGCTGTTGGAAAGGATTCCTGCACATCGGCGAACGAACACAAACAATCTTGTGGTCTAATGCGCGTGTACCAAGTTTGAACAAAGGCTTGTGTGTACGTGGCAGCTAATGCACTCCTAGAAACCCCTTCATTAATCCTATACCTCCGATCGACTGATGTCTTGCATGGCCGGGACATGTACGAACAAGTTCACTCATGTCAACATGTGACACGGCCAGTCCTGTCGGTTTGAGGACTGGAATCTGGCTGTCTGGGTCTGAAAGACCATAGGCACACATGTCGGCTCAATGCACGGACAGCTTGCCTGCTTGAATGAGCTTCTTCATTGGGCCGAACTTCCACAGATCACTTGACCATGGATGTTCAACCAACACGCGTCCACCTCGTCTCATCTGGCGTTTGATCTGCTCAACACAAAAGGTAGCCTGTCGAGTGGCAATGCGTTGATTGCGCAACTGTTCTGCCACTGAAAGCTTGTGTTTGTTGAGTCTGTACCAACCACCCCAATGCTTGCACTCGGGGCAGCGCACCAGCAACTCGGGAGCCTGCTCTTCCAAGATCTGGTCAACCTGTGCCTGTGTCTTAGGGTCATCCAGGTCCCAGCCTTGTTTGATATCAAACGCCAAGCCCTTGTCTCCTCTCTCCCTTGCCCAGGCACTGAACCTTGGCGGAGAGAACAGCTCAGCGACAGCACATTTGGTCGTCTTCTCCTTGTTCCAGGTTTCACTGTGTGCCAACAAGCACCGCTCTTCTCGGCGAGTGAGGACTCTGGTAGGTCCTTGCATGAACTGTTCTGCATCCTCCTCCGATGCGTCTTCTTCTGTCGTTGGATTCTGTCCTCCTTCCACGACAAGAACCTCCTCGTCCACTCCCTCGGTGTCCAGCACGTTCAAAATGAACTGGCCAGCTGTGTTCATCTGAAGTGGTCGAGGTGGTCCGGCCTGGAGTTCCACTGTCTCAGCTGCAAAGTCCAGCTTGGCATCTAAGCTCTTCAAGGTGTTTCGGGACAGAAGAAGGGGCGCTGTCCCTCTGATCACCGCAGCTTCGATTCGGCCCGGTCGGCCGTGGATCACAATCGGCATGGAAACTACCTTCTCAGACAGCTCCTCTTGACCATTCCCAAAACGAAACAAATTCTGTTGGGGCATCTTGCGGTCCTGGTACAGACGCATGAACTCACCCAATGTCTGTTGGCCAATCAATGTACGACTGCAACCCGAATCAATGATGCCATACCCTGGTGAGGACACCAAATAACACTCGTCTGCATCTGTCACCATGGCTGCCCCATCTTGTTGCTTGAACTGGAAGCCTGTGGACAATTTCTTGCCCAATCTGACCGCACCGTCTACAGCGTGACTTCTTCTGAATGTCTGTCAGCTCCCGTGTGAATTGCTTCTTCACGGTGTGGGCCTGTTTGAACTTTCTGGCACTTCCAAATGTGTTTGTCTCCATTCTCTTCCCGAAGTAGATCCAACGTCAAATGCTCAAGAGCCAATCCGTCAAGAAGACAAAACACGTAAGGACCTCGATGTGTCGGAGTCATGTCTTTGGTGGAGGCCATCTTGGCCAAAGCCCAAAGGCGCCACCGCCTGTACTCTTTGGGGTCCAGACTCTCCCCACTGAATCGACGTTGTCCCATCGACGACCCATCCGAGCTGGCGGCCATGGCACCTACACCCAAAACTATACACTAGACACTGCTTTCAGCGTTCAGCCCTTCCTAAGGCCTAACTACCCCGGATGCCCTCCTCCGATTGGAGGAGGGCTCCGCTACAATGTTGAAACCACGGACCGATTCGATCCGACCGAGAGCTCCTGCTCTCCCCTACCGGCGGCCTTTTCCGCGCCCGATCCTCGAGCAAAGGTTGCCTCCGGTCCGACCTATAATGCACACCCGTCGTGACACTGCTTTCACATATATATATTTCTATATTTTTACTAACACCATCATATAACTGACAATGTATGATAGCTCCACTCCCTATGTGGCCCCGTCGGATTGCCAGGCTTCCGAACTGAGCTCCGCTCCATGGTCAAGGAGGCCAAGAAGAACCCCCTGATAGCTTTCATCTCACTCAAAGGAGCACTTAAGAACGAAGGCATCATGGTAGTGATTCGAGCTTGAGTGGCTTTTGCCTTCGCCAAGGAACAGTCTGTCAGACTGAATGTCCACGAGCTTTGTTGGGGCTACCTAGCCACTCATCCGTGAGGCTTTGTACTTCTTCTCTCCGGATGATGGTGCAGACAGGTGGGTCTTTGAGTTTGCCTAAGCCGATTGGCTGATTCCTGTCCTTGCGGATCACAAACATCAGGATCCGGGGAGGAAACTCATTCTGGGGCAGGTCTTTTGGGCAAATCACTGTACTCTTAATTCAAGACTCAACAGGCTGCGAAAGTTTTGATACGAACCGACAATGGATTGGCTTGTCGAGAATGCACTGAAGGCGCTAAACCAAACGAATTGTATAGACACATTAGCTGCCTACCCCAGATCCAAGAAGTAGTACATTATTGCTCTTGATATCTCTTGATGGTTTTGGCCTCCTGCCTGAAGCCAGGCTTCCTTTGAGGGGTCAAGAGGAGCTGGTGGAACTGCTGCTGGCAGCCAAAGCCGAGTGCTCTTGCATATCGAGAAGGTCTCTTCTTTTGGATGCCTGTTCAGTTTTTTGCGTCAGATGGATGGGGCTGCGTCGTACTCTAAGTTTAAGGGCAGCCGCAAACTTTTGTATGTTTCAAAGAAGAAAGAAGCACTTATCAACCACAACACCTGACCAAGTTATATACTCACCAAATCTTCATCCTACCTTTTCGCGCTCTCGTTGCGAAAAGGTATTTCATTGGCACTTCTGGCTCCTCGTTCTCCGCGGCAGTGCGCCGACAAAGGCGGCGGAACTCACCAATTCGGAGGATTCCGGTGGCGGTTCTACATCACCTTACTGGCGGTTTTGCTAGGTCTGCCTCACTTTGATCCATCCAACTATCAACAGCCAACTAACATAATCCTGATATGTCCTGATGCATTGATTGTGGATGCCAGTTCTTGTCTGAGGAACATCCTGGTGGATTGCTCGTAGAAGCTGCAAAACAAAGGAAGTCCCAGTGGTTCATGTTTCTGCAAAGTCTCCTCCATGGCTGCACACAGTGACTTGTTTTTCTCTTCTGCAGGAAGTCTGCGGGCTTGCCAGCCAAGACGTCAGAGGAGGTTTGAGAGGGCGTTTGATGAGCTTTACTACCAAGTATCAATGAGATACAGAAACCTGCAAACATCGCACCTGAATCCTTGATCCAAGACTTGCTTAAAGTGCGCAGGCAAACACGATCTAGGTGGCATTCCAGAGCTGGTGTAGAACCCATGAGAGAAGTCCTCCTTCCAAGCAAACTCGGAGTAATTGAGCATAGGTTTGTAACAAAGGTTGACACACGACAAACACATCGGAGTCTTCTTATCCAAAAGACACACGCCACACTAGGACACGTACGTTCCTTTATGACTCTATGACAAAGAAAGCCTTTGCTTTGCTTTCTTTCTTTCTCATCAACGGTTTAAGCGCAGAAATGCCTTTCTTGCGCACCACCCCACGAGACTCAGGGCACCTGGTTAATTTTGGCACGTTTCCTGCATTGGAGGTCTTTTGTGGGAACCTCACAGAGACCGAGGCCGCACGGAAGTGCGTAGAGCCAGAGCCCCAGGGTTTGGCTGAATCCTATGAAATACTATGACATCAAACTTCATCAAACACCAATTTAGTTGTTGGTCAAGGCTCGTGGGTCCCACATCTTGGACAGCTGGCTTGGAATGTTTTGATGGGTCACCTGAGTGTTTAGAGCCGATGAGTTGCCGTGACCGAGCAAAAGCATGCAAACGCTGTATCCACTGGTTTGGAGGTGAATGGCATGGACATGACAAGACTGTGGAATTTGCAAGCATGATCTGTTGGAAACAGGTAGACATCATATTGCCGCATCTTGATACCCAGAAAAATACAAGGAGATACAAGACTGCAGGGCAGGCTTCTGCCGATTCAAAAATCATATTTTTAAAGCTTGGGTTTGATCACAATCTGAACCAGAACGGTTTGTTTGTTTGTTGTTTCAGGTTTCTACAGATTACCTTTCAAACGGTTAGGGTCGGTTAGGGTTCTTACTTGAAGGAATCTCTCAAAGTTCAAGCCCACCCCGTCAGTCTCCAGCTGCCTGCCCCTAGGCCCAAGAGAAATTGGTTTCTCAGAAATTGCGTTCTCAACGACCTTGCTTTCTTTTGTTCTCCAGCAACTTCAAGCTCAGGTAATCTCTCCAGAAGCAAATGGAGCGCAGAAGCAAGTGAAACCACAGAAGCATTCGCCATTGGAGAAAGCCATGAGTGAAGGGTTTTGGTGGGTTGGCTTGAACCAGAGATATCCCTTGAGGTAGTTGTATACAAGGGCCTCCTCCCTTGAACTGGGATTGCATCTCCTCATCTCCTTCGAACAACAACCAAAGATGGACCCCAAAGGTATAGTCTAGTACTATTAGCTCCAGATCAAATGGGGTCCTGTGCTTTGAGTATGCGACAACTGAAGCCATCCGAATTCCTGCGACTCTGAGTCTTGCTTTTGTGCTTTTAAGTACTTCACCCTAGGGCAGCAGTTGGCACCATGTTTGTGCCATTTCTGCAGTCCTTCCAATCCTGACATAGGAGCGTTTTTTGGATGGTGGTTCTTACTATTTTCACTTGAATCTACCCTTTGTTCAGGCTCTCCTCAAGGACCCCAACAACTGCAGTCTGAACCGGTCAGCACAAATTCTTCTCGTGGCTGGCTGAGAAATTGGAGAGGGACGATCCTTCCTACCAGCCATTAAAAGCCGACCGCTTCAAGTCGGGCTCCAGCCGTAGAGATCCCTCCCCAGCAAGACCAGGTGGGGATTTGCGAAACGCACCTTCGATGCTGTTTTTGACGTAGAAACGTTGATATATCGGAGATATCTGGCTTTTGCATCTCTCGGTGTCTGACACGTACGGGGGCGTGAAGGAAGAGACCACAGGAAGAATGATTGCCTTGACAGCTTTCGTGCCGTGCCCACCAGGCACGACAGAGGTCAGCGATCGCGCCGGATGGCGGTGCGCGCCTCGTTCGAGAATAGCAACGAGGCGAAGGGTTTGGGTGCCACAGAGACCATTGATTGATTTCAAGCGAGGTGTCATGGCACAAGCAGCATGCGATTCAATACCTAATTACTGTACATACTTCAGCCCCTCAAACTTTCACCAAGGTTGTCACACTATAAAGACCCAGTCAATGACTCAATGACCCAGCTGTCTTGCTAATTCAGCAGTTGAAGAGCTGTTTGGTCGATCTTGTGCCGAACTCGGTGTGTTTCTTGATACAAAATAGTGCCACCAATTGGACATGCGATGACATCCGTGATTCTGTGGCACCACAGTTATTTGTATGTATGGTCTGGTGTGGTCTGGTTTGGTATGGCAAGATATGGTATGCAGAGGTATGGGATGGGATGGGATGTATGTGGTACCCTACCCCTGGCACCTACGATTTTGGGACATGAAGTGCTTTGCGCGACTACCAGGGTGAAGTGCGTCACTGATCCACCAAAACGAAGCAAGCAAACCAACAAAAAACATTGCTAAGATCCGGTCTAGCCCAGATAGCGTGAGCTATTGGGGTTCTTACTTCAAGTATAAGAAGAGCTGCGTGTGTGCGCTTTCGAGCCTGGGTGCAGAGTGCCGCTGCTGTAGGCGCTTGTTTTTGCTCACGCCCCCCCTAACGGGACGGAGAATTTCCACGTTTTCACCATTAACCAAGTTGATACTACGCTGGGGATGGGGTGGGGTGGGGATGGGGTGGGGTCTGTTAACGTTCGCTTGCACTTGCAAACCAAGTTGATGCTACGTTGGGGATGGGGTGGGGTGGGGCTGGGGTGGGATGCTACCAAGTTTTGAAGCGCAAATGCTTCCAAGTGAAGCATGTGAAGATGGAGTTTACGCGCAAAGCGCGTGGTCGGAAAACGCATGGCACCCAACGTATTGACCGCAAATGGTCGTCCCTGAAGAAGTTTATCCCGAAAGAGTTGGCATCCAAACGATCCAATGGCGGGTTGAAAGCACAGATCCAAGAATATATAGCTTTCTGTGGCGCTGTAACACCGTCTAAGCACCAACTGCAGAAGTTGGGTCAAATGGCGCAGAAGGAGTGGAACGCGTGAAAAGGAGTGGCACGCCTGAGGGAGTGGAAGTGTGTTAAGGTTTCATGAAAAAAAGAGAAACGACAAAAGACGCGTTCTTTTTACTTCCGGGTCCCCGAAGGCACTGTCACTTCACAATGGAGTTACGATTTGAGAGGTGTTTTGTGGTGTAAAAACACATTCGAAATGACATTGACCTAAAAAAGGCATCGCCATAAAGCGCCAGAGGGGTTGTGAAAAGCGACTCGAAGATGCATGTGAGAATGCGCAAATCGCGCGGGGCCGTTGCAGTGGGCGTGACCTTGACTTTGGTATTACGTATTTCCTCCTTGGGTCCTTGTGATGGTTTTAGGAGCCGTGTGAAAGGCGTGTGAAAAAGCCATGGCAGCTTGAGTGCAATGATTCCAGTGCTAACTGGGACCTATGCTGGCATATTTTTTTGATACTTGTTGTTTTTTTGTGTTTCCCCCAGATAGCACAAGCTATTGGGGTTCTTGCTTCAAATATACGAAGAGGTGCCTGTGTGCGCTTTGGCGCTTGGGTGCTGCCGCTGCCAGATGTGTGGCCGTGTGCGCTTCGGAGCCTGGCCAGCTGCAGGGTGCTGGTGCCAGATGTCTGGCTGTGTGCACTTTGGAGCCTGGGTGCTGGCTTTGCTGCAAGGTGCCACTGCCAGATGTGTGGCCGTGTGCAGGGTGCCGCTGTTGTGGTGCTGCGCACCAGTAAATCTTTTGCTATCTGGGGTCTGTGCTGGTGTTATTTTTTGTGTTTCGGTGAATCAGATCTCACGACAAAGCAGGCAAACAAAGCAGACCTATGTCCTAATGTCGGTGCCTGCGACATAGTTCTGATTTTTTTCAGATCAAACCTGTGCTTCCTGCCCTTTGCTCCCACCACGTTTTGTCGCTTTGTGATACCCTGACATTCCTCTGTTCCAACGTAATCAGACTGCATAGCTCTTCCCAGATCTGGCTCTGTATAAAGTTTCCTTTTGCAATATCGGTTGGAATTCCATGATTCAATATATTCACACATTTCTTATCAAAAATGTCATTTTCTCTAGAATTGCATACCTGCTTCTAAAGACAATACCTTCCTGCCTGTGGGTGCATTCTTGCAGCTTGGCACAGACGATTCAAAAACATACAACTGCCTCGCCGCACCAGCTTTCTTTCAACTATATAACATTTGGTTACATTTGGGTGCAGCTGCTTCTACTCAAGGCACTCCATTTCAAAGCTGCCTGTCTTGGCGTAAAACACCTTTCATTTTGTATGGAATTGACACCATTGAGAAATAGATCTTCCCGCGGGCAACCAGGTATTGTTCTTGAAGAACACTTCATTAGAGCAACTGTATCTACATTGTTTTTTGAAAGACATGAATGCCTTTGCAATTGTGTAAGGCGTTTTGAAAACACATTTTTCCTTGAAGGTAAGCCGTTGTTTTCTTAGAAACAAATGAGTTTGACGCATGTAAGATTTTTGTTTGCTTGCAAATAAGTCTCTGCACCAAAATGGCCTTCACCTGGACAACATTGCATTGATGATTGTAACCCAAAAACATGCACTGGAAAAAAGTAACATACAATCTTTTGATCTATATACGCACATGCAAGACGAAGGCACTTGCAAAAGGATTCTTTTTTGTTTGCAAAGATTAAATATTCACTTAACGATATTTGCATAAGGGAGTGAACCTAAACCTGTAACATTGTTTTTGCTGTTTCATTTTTCCCGAAAGCATTGCGAAGGGTTCTTCCGGAAAATCCTTTGAACAC